CAAAACCCCGTGTTTGCCAAACTCAGCTTCATCGATTTTCAGATCACGATAATTTATTTGATTGAAATAATTCACGTCTGACGAGGGATAGTGCTCGAATCCTCTAAACCCCGGCCAGTCGGAGCATTCAACCTAATGGGTGGATTTTACTGAAGCCGACGCATTCTTATCTGGTCTCCAGTACTATTATCAGGCTTGACGGTCTAACCATCTACTCAACCTGAGATGAGCATTTGAACAATGATGTAATGGTAACCATTCCATCATTGTCCACAAAACAAATGACGCCACGCGGAACTCAAAATCAGTTATTTAAATGTCAGTTGGAGACATTCCGTTTAAAACCTATGCTGAAAACGACGGGAAATTGCTGCGCAATTAGCGGGCGGTGTGGCGGTTTTCAATAGCTTTTGTACACACTACTTTTATAATTCCATTATCTTCCTTTTCTTATCTCTTCTTTCTCTTTTATGAACTCAGAGTTTAACACTTTTTTAACCGGTCTCCTCATTACCCGCTCGGTATCTTTGTGGTCTCGCTCCGTGATTTTCTCAATTGTTTGTCGTTCTGTAACTGGGACCTACGACGGTTTCGTGAGTCGCAGATATGTATTGATGTATGCCTATAATAGAAACGAAATTTCGACTGTCGTTCAACTGTTTTCCTACGGGCTGGAAATTTTGGTCAGTCGAATTTGAGACATTGCGATTCGTATTGACCGTTGTTCGGATTGCGGTTACACCTATTGAAAAACTCTTTGCTTTTGCTCTTGCATAGGTTCCGGATAAGGTTGAATTTATCCGCGTCACCATTCAAATTTGTGAGTTTCACCTTGCAAAGAGAACGGTTCGTTCGTCCAGAAGTCGACATATTGAGCGTGGTAGAGGAGGGCGGGTTTTGGTTGGGGTAAATATTTGGGAACTAACAAGCAGTCGACTGTTCGGAGTACGTTCTCAATTTGGTCTTTGAGTCCTTTCGTTTCTGAAGATAGGTTAACAGAAGTCAGAGTTGCTGCCAAGGAATCTCTTAGCGCAGCGACGTTGGTCCGTCTAAAGGACAGCAAGATTCTTGGTGCTGAATTATATGACGGCCAATGAACGACGAATTCAAAGCTCAGAAGAGAGTGGTCACTCATGTCAAGTGGGCAGAGAGTGCAGACCTCATCGATTTGGTGCCGATTGTTCGGTGTCACCAAATCAGGTAGAAAAG